GAGACTAATAAATTATCTTACCTTCTCTCGAACGCTCTCTGGTTTCATTTAAAAGAGTTGATCATCAGATATTGTCCAAGATTAACCTTCAGGGTGGATATAGCTCGCTAGCAGCCTCGCACCGAGGACCTATCCACGTCATCATTTACCCAGAATGCTTTGTGTGGAAATAAAATGGCCCCGTCCATGTAATGTATTTTTTTAAAATGTACAAAACAAAACAGCCTACAGTATTTTTACAGTCTTTATTTTACAGTTAAAATAAATGTTCATCAAATAAAGTTTAATGTTACAACTAATCAGGGATGCCTTTAAGCTGCACATAGTCCTGTTATAAAACTATTTAAATAACTGGAATCTAAGTGCGGTGAAGCCAAATAAATGTAATATCTGCCTGCCATACAATGAGCTCCCTCCTGTTGAACTGACCCTCTGCTGCTCTCAGAACAGAAGCTGACATTAGCAAGATGGATTCATGACTGAACAAACATCCACATCTTTTTATCATCTCTGTTGGTAACAATACACAAAAACCAGGTTTTTCTCCGACAACTCAGGTGTGAAAAACTACGGTTGTTAAAGCTTCGCTCTGCGTGACGTGCAGCAGGAGGGAGGAAATGATCCTTTGGCACGACATAACTTTTCCACAGCAAGAGGGGAAATTTTTGAGGATTTATTCTCTATATGTGTTTTAAAACAATATATTTCTTTATTATGTTTCAAACTCCTCCTGCTCAGGTGTCTCTGCACTCACAGTCATGTTGACACAGGTGCGATGACGTAATGACAACAGGTAGAGGGTAAATTTCTACCATAGACCAACTTCATATTGTTTCTATCACATATACCACGCAGCCCTAACATGCATGATATATTTTGCTGAGATGTCATGATGCAAATGACATGTTTGATCTTGTGTAATTCTCAGATATCTTCAGTACATGTGGCATTGTGCTCAGAGAATAGGACTGCAACGATTGGTCAAGGTAATCAGCAATGTTGAATAAGAATTTGTCAACATGGAATCTTATTTTTGACACGTTCATTTGTAAATGTAATGTAACACATGAAATACTGGGGGCAGAATCACTTCTACTGTCTGTGGCTGCAGTGTTTCCTAAAGAAGAAAAGCAAGCCGACCTGCAAACTTCATCGACTATCAGACTAAAGAAGTAGGAGGCAGCAGCATGGCAGACTGGAAAGACGGTCGCAACAAAGAGAAAAAAACAAGACCAAAACATTTGGCAACATTTTACAGAAAGTAAATAACAGACTCTGTCAAGCAGAGATATTTCATGGCTAGGGCTGCAACTAACGATTATTTTAATAATTGATTATTCTGTTGATTATTTTTTGATTAATCGATTAATCGGCCAAATCATTTAAACGCTTAATTACATGAATATGAGCAGATATAAATTAAGTTCACTCCTTAAGGACGTAAGTTATTGATAATGAATTAATCTGAAGTTGATTTACCTTATAGATTGACTAAAAATCTTATAGTTTGACTAAAACATTATTTGACCCTAGGGCTGCCACAAACTATTATTTTTATAATGGATTAATCACCCATTTTTTTTTCGATTAGTCGACTAATCAGATCATACGTTAATTGAATATAAAACAGAGCTTATCACATCAGAATGCAGCTGTTATTATATAACCATGGTTAGATTTTAGCTATATGCTAACTAAAAAATAATTGCTGTGGAAGGTAAGTTCTGCTCTGCAGATATTACACAGGTTTCTCTTTCATTTTCTTAAAATGATCCCACACTTTGAGCTCTGTT